TATTAATTCTGATAGAATTTACCTACTTAAAATTATCTGTTAGATTAAGGACCTGCCCGAAACGCTGCGCGTACTAGTGGCTTTACAAGAGTGTAATTACTGTACCATGCTATGTATTCTCACAAACCCAATGTACCTTCTTGTATATAAATAAATAAATAAAAAATTAATAAATAAGTTTGCGTGCAGTGTATTTCTAAGTTATTGTCACGATTTAGGCCGAGTATTGTAGTGTTTTTGGTGACGGGAATATATGTTGGGGTTGGTGATTGCGAGTAGAGTTTGTCGAGTATTGTGTTAGCACGTTTCTTGTAGATGTATTATGTGATGGTGGATTTAATGTGGTTCGACTGTATTTACCAGTCGCGCTTTTATGTAAGTGCGACTGGTGGGAGCCTTGTGGGACCCCTGAGTGATGAGAGAAGTAGTGAGAGTGGAAGCTCAGAAAGCGAATCCTCATCTGTCGGTCGTCCAAGTAATTGCAGAGTAGTTTCTTAGTGTTCAGGGCAGGTCAGAGTTGTTAGACATTTTGTTAAAGTCCCTCGTGCCATACCCTGTCGAAGGCCTTTTTTTTTTTTTTTTTTTTAAGATATATACAAGAGTTGTTACATTCTTGTACAGCCACTAGTACGCATAGCGTTTCGGGCAGGTCCCTGGAATACGATCCCCTGCCGCGAAGAATCGTTTTTTCATCCAAGTACACATTTTACTGTTGCGTTAAACAGAGGCTACAGTTAAGGAATTGCGCCCAGTAAATCCTCCCCGGCCAGGATACGAACCCATGACATAGCGCTCGTGGAACGCCAGGCGAGTGTCTTACCACTACACCACGGAGACCGTTTACGTCTCGAAACAGACAGAAGACTCAGACTCGACTCAAAACAAGGACTCGAAACAAAGACTCGACGTCTTTGGTCACTAGTGCTGTCTTGCGGCATTCTTTCTGGTTGATTAGTATGTAGTTAAGCACTATTATAGGAGCATCGTGCGTCGACCTGTGGGACAAGAAGTCGAACTGTCTTTCATTTAGTAGGTCATTGTCATCAAGATGTTGTCTAAGTCTGAGGTTTACTGGATGCTCGAAAACCTTCCCAAGCGTTTCAAGTAGGTTGATTGGTCGGTAGTTTTTGGGGTCATTATGTGGTTTTCCTGGTATTGGGATGAGAATAGCAGTTGCTTTTTAAGAGTTGAGAAAATTATCTGGAACAAGGGAGGCATTATTGAGAGCAGTCAGGCTGTTGATAAGCGTCATAGGGAGGCGTCTAATGAGTTCATGGCCTATACCCGAGGCCTCCGGGGCTCTGTTGGGGGGGGGGGGGGGGCGTAAGTAGCATTATCTTGACCTCTCCTGGTGTCAGCGGTTCTGAAGTGCAGTTGGCTGTGTAGGTGAAAGATTATCTGCCAGTGTTGCCGGAAAACTTGTATGACCTCTGCCGAGTCAGTGATGTTTCTGTCGTTGGGAGTAAGTGATTTGTTTGAAAGTGGTGTAGTTGTTTACCCAGATTTTTTTAATGAATTTACTAAATTCTTAAGGGTTTGTATTTGTGCTGTGTATTTGTAAATTTTGTGTATTTTATAAATAACTAGCAGTACCCGGCCACGTGTTGCTGTGGCTCTGCATCACATGTGCGTTGCTGAGCCACAGCATCCTTCCCTGTCCCCCAGTCCTCCCCACCATTCCCCTCTCACCAGTCTCCTTGGCCTCCCAAACATTCCCAACTCCCCCATCCCCTCTTCCTTCCCACCATGCCCCACTTCCCTCCCACAATGCCCCACTCCCCTGTCCCTTTGTCCTCCCAACCATTCTCCATTCCCCCATCCCCTCGTCCCCACCATCCCAAACTTCCCTGTCCCCTCGTCCTTTCCCGCCATTACCCCCTCTCTTGTCCCCTCGTCCTCCCCACCATCTCTCACTTCCGTCCTCTCGTCATCACCACCATTCCCCCTCCCTCGTCCAATGCCTTCCCAAATGGTCTCATGTTCCCATCAGAAATTGGGAACATCAAGTGATCTGATGTTCCAATAACTGAAATATAAGTAAAAGTTAAAAAATGAAATGAAAATATGAAAAAATAAAAAAAATAAAACATACCCACTAAATGAACGGTATGGTAAAAGAACACAGCTCAATTCCACTGCAATTCACACAAAATAATCAAATCAAAATGTATGAAAATTCAATTTATCAATGCAATCAGAAACATTGAAATGGAATTGTAACATATTTAGTATAGCATGTGTGTTGCTCTTACGTGCAACAGATGGCGCTGTTTTCCAAGAAAAACAGTTATACCTGCCATAGGTATGGCATCTCTACTTGTACTTACGAAATGAACCGTATGGCAAATAACACAGCTCAATTCCAACACAATGTCACACAAAATAATTCAAACAAAAATAAAAAAATCGAAATCTATGAAAATAAAATTTATCAATGCAATCGGAAACATTGAAATGGAATTACTGACATATTTAGTGTAGCGTGCATGTTGCTATTATGTGCAACAGATGGCGCCGTTTCTCAAAAACGCATGTTTTTACCTGTCACCGGGGTGGAATCTATATAGTAGGTATATAAAAAGATGCGCCTATTCGAATGCAGTATTGTCAAAATTTCAAAGCAATCGGTGAAGGACTTTCGGTTACATCGTGTGTGGCTCTTACGACCAACAGATGGCGCTGTTTTTCAAAAAAGCATGTTTTTTCCTGTCACAGGTGAGCCATGTATATAGTAGATATATAAAACAGATGCGCCTATTGGAATGTAGTGTTGTCAAAATTTCAAAAGAATCGGTAAAGAGGTTTCGAAGATTTGCCTCACATGAAAAACACGTGTAAACCAGAATTTTTCTGAAAAAGCATTTTTTTGTATCGTCACAGACGTGACATCTATATAGTATGCATATAAAAATCTGCTCTGATGCGAATGGAACATTGTGTGAAAATTTCAAAGCAATCGGTAAAGAACTTTCTGAGATTAGCGGTTATGCACAAACAAACACTTCCACTTTTATGTATATAGATAAAAAACTAGGCACATCATTGCTTGGCGTGAGCATTGACCAGACTATTGAGTAAACGGTATCAGAGTATAGTGAGGCCAAAGAGTACTTGGCCATGTCTGTGCTGGTTTTGTATGAATCTGTTTTGGTAGTGTGTGATAAGTCTCCTGGCTCGTATGGAAGGGGTAAACGAGTACCTTCTCCTGTGGGTGATGAGCGGTGTTGTTGCAGCCGCTGCTTGTGACTGTATTGTATAAGGTGTAGTTGGGTGTCAATGTCCTCGGGTATTTTGTCATCATGTGTGAATGTTTGGTCTGGGCAGTATTTACAATATGCAAGAGACAGTTAGCTCTGTTGTATGCAAAACGTGGGAGACCCTGTATGAAGATGTACTCACCTAGTTGTGTTTGCGGGGGTTGAGCTCTGGCTCTTTGGTCCCGTCAATCAACAGGTGTACAGATTCCTGAGCCTATCGGGCTCTGTCATATCTACACTTGAAACTGTGTATGGAGTCAGCCTCCACCACATCACTTCCTAATGCATTCCATTTGTCAACCACTCTGACACTAAAAAAGTTCTTTCTAATATCTCTGTGGCTCATTTGGGCACTCAGTTTCCACCTGTGTCCCCTTGTGCGTGTTCCCCTTGTGTTAAATAGACTGTCTTTATCTACCCTATCAATCCCCTTCAGAATCTTGAATATGGTGATCATGTCCCCCCTAACTCTTCTGTCTTCCAGCGAAGTGAGGTTTAATTCCCGTAGTCTCTCCTCATAGCTCATACCTCTCAGCTCGGGTACTAGTCTGGTGGCAAACCTTTGAACCTTTTCCAGTTTAGTCTTATCCTTGACTAGATATGGACTCCATGCTGGGGCTGCATACTCCAGGATTGGCCTGACATATGTGGTATACAAAGTTCTGACACACACACTGTGTGTGTGTGTGTGTGTGTGTGTGTGTGTGTGTGTGTGTGTGTGTGTGTGTGTGTGTGTGTGTGTGTGTGTGTGTGTGTGTGTGTGTGTGTGTGTGTGTGAGAGAGAGATATGGAGGGTGACAGGAATGTAATCCGAGCCTATGAAAGGGTAGGAAGTTGTGTGGTGTAGGTGGGTGTAGGTGTGGTGTAGTTGTGAATATGAAGTCAGGTCGCCCGAGGCCGTTGTTAGCATAGGACGTGTGGATGTCTGGTCCCAGGAACGTTAGTCGTTTTACAGGTATATTTGGTGGAGATTATGTCCGTGCTGGTTTGGAGTGTTGTGGTGAAAAGTGGAGTGCTTAGCGTTGAGGTCAGCCATCATGATGACGGGGACGTTGGTGTAGTTGAAGAGTCTATTCAAGTTACATTGTGGTATGTTGGTGTTAGGACGATTGTAGGTGGTACTAATAATGATTGATTCAGGGTGTGAGTAAAATATTATGGCCTGAAGTGTCAGAATTGCCATAATGGCTCAATAATTTTGTTGTGTTTGATGAGTATGACAATTCCATCGTGTGCCTCATCCGGTGACTGGTTTGTAGTGTATCCGTAGTGACGGATTATATGAGCGTTTGTGTCGCACCTGGTGTTTAATAGTTGCACGTCTGGTTGGTCAGTCTCAATGAAATCAGCCACTACGTATCGAATGTTCGATATTGTATGTTTGAACATACACCCCCGTATGTTCTGCCATTTAATTGTTATTTTATACATCTTCGTTACAGTGTTATGTGTAAGCTCGTACAGTACCTGTGTGGTCCAAACGAATGTCGGCTGTCGTGACGATGGGTAAGGTGTCGGTAGAGAGGGCTCTTGGGCGATGCGCAACATTGCCCAGTTTGATGTGGGCTCTGAGAGGGGCCCAAGGTTGAGCATGTGACGGACCTCGGCGCTATCTACGATCCAGATGCCGAACTATAGCAGTTGACCCTCCCATTAATCGTAGTTTCCCATCTTGTAGTCGGCTAGGCTGGAAGGTGACGACCAATCAGGGCCCGACAATGGAAATCAGTGAAGCAGAGAGAATTTTGAAGACCTGAGGGTGGGCTAGTTGAGCGTTGTGGACTTTACTCCTGGAGGGATTAGCCAGTGAAGCTTGGTGAGCGCTGTGGACTTCACTATTGGCAGGTGCTAGCCTGTGGGGCTAGGTGAGCGCTTTGAACATTGCCGGATGAGCAATGCGAGTGTGCAAAGGAAAAGGGGGGGGGGGCATTTGAAGGACTGCTCCATACCGGCAGCTAGGGTAAGAGCTAGTGGTGCCCTAAAGACCTGTCAGAGGCATAGTATCAGTCATCCGTGAAGCAGGCTAGCGTGAGGGTTAGTAACGCCGCTCAGGATGACCTCACATATAGACTTGTACATATCATGGTGAAGGGTAAAATAACGGGTTATTTTAAGTGCTTTTATTTTTATTTACCTTAAACATTACACTATATTTCTACCAAGGTTAGTCCTCTGAATTTGAGTAGGATCATAGTTTAAAAAGAACCCGGTTACGAAGGGTTCGTAACAGGGCATCTCTCAGGACTTTTTCCTGTGGTGTGTAGTAGCCTATCGTGTTCGTGGGTCCCTTAAGGAAGGTTAGCCTCGGGTTCGTGGATGAAGTTGAGCGTCTCTCTTGGTGTGGCGGTGTATTGGCTGTCTGTGGTTGTGTGTTTTCCAACAAATCCGTCGGTGGTAGTAGGGAAGGGGGTGAGAAGGACCTCATTTGTGTCTGTGTGCCTACTGGACGGGTAGATCTTGGCGTGTCCGGTGATATTGGCATAACCTAGTGAGAAACGGACTTCGACGATGTCATCTGAGAGGCAAAGCTCAAGGCATCCAATACTGTGGGGTTGCAGCTTCCTCTGTGTTGTTGGACTGTCGCTGCTGCCAATGCACGTGCCTCGGCTCTATAACCTCCCTAGAGGCTATTCTGTAGACTCCTGCTTCACTGCTAGACTGTTGCTGCTGTCAATACTAGTCGCGCGCCTTGGGACCAGACACAAATTTGTTATGCATACCAAGAGGTAACTGAAGCATTCAGCAGGCCACTTGGCGTAATGATTAATTCCTTTATAAAAATGGGAGAACTTCCTGACTGAAGGAAAATGGCTAATGTGGTATCAATATACAAGAAATGGGGAAGACAGACTATTACACAGAATCACATTAGTAACAAGTACTGCCTGCAAGTTGCTAGACTGATAGTAAGAGAGGCTGGCGTAACAGGAAAAGTTCTAAGGTTGGTCAGAGAATCTCTCAAGAAGGAAGCAAAAGGATAGAGACATCAGAGTGGAGAGAGGGTACAAGTGGAGCACCACAAGGTTCCGTTCTAGGTCCCATATTGTCTCTAATTTGTCAATCACCTAACAGGAAATTGGCTCCTTCATACCAGTATTTCAGATGACGCAAAGCTGAAGAGAAGAAAGGACAGTGATAGTTTGAGGTATTTAATTAATCAGATTTTGACATACCTCAGAAATGTCCTAAAAAAATGGCTGCCTAATTTTAACCCAGCCAAATGCAAAGTTACGAAAAATGTAACAAGCGTATTAACACCAGCAATATAGGAAAAATGAAAAAAAACAATTTCTTAAAACAGGAGAGTCCTGGGAGTTAACATAACCCCATTTGTAATGCCAGAAGTCCACATTAGCAGAATAACAGCTGCATAATGTCATACTGAACACCTTGCGTGCATCCTTCCGAAAATTTGAAAAGTGGGCTATTTTAGGCCTTATATACAGCGAAGGTGAGACCTGCACTTCGATAGGCATTCACAACGTAAAACTCTTGCCTAAAAAAAGGCCATAATAAACTAGAAAAGGTTCAAAAATATGTAAAGACACTTTCTTGAGTTGAAGGGCGTAAAATACGAGGAAAGATTGTGGGAACTCGACCTTACCACACTTGAGGAAAGGAGAGATAAGGGAATATGATAACAATATACAAGATTCTAAGAGAAATTGACAAGTTAGACGAAGCAGTATTTTTCAAAACTATGAACAGGAAAACAAGGGTTTGTAGATAAAAACTAGAGACCAATGAGTCACAAGGACGTCAGAGAGATCTTTTTCAATGTTAGAGCTGTCAATTTACTGGTGAGATGTTAAGGTCGTTGAAGCTTATTCAGTTAAATGTTTTATATATAGATATGATAAAGTTGTGAAAGGAGACGGTACAATAATCTAAGAATGTTTAGATCGCGAGGGTCTAGGAGCTTTGCTAGCAGCCTTCCCTAGGTAGGAGGTGTATATGTAGTTGATATGACAAAGAAAAAATAGTTCTTTAATCGTTAAATTAAACACCCGAAAATTAGAAAGGGGGAGTCCACGAGGTAAGAGTTCGACCTACAGCCACACAGTAAATACATATATATACATACAGAACGCTGAGCACCGTAACAGGTTGCTGTACCTGGCCCCTGGCCGAAATAGTTACAGAAGGCGTTATGGAGCTTCCAAGCTACTAGGTGGGTGTGGTAGTGGGTTTAATGTCCAGTAGTGAAGTATGTGCTTTTAATACATACTCACACTTGCTCATACTTCACTTTAATATAAATAAACTCTATTAATATTGAAGTGACTTAATTTGTAATTTACTTGTATGTGAGGCGGACTCATGTCAGGTGAGGTGAATGACGTCACGGGCAGTTGACCCATCAGGCCAAGCTAGCCAAGAGGCGCGGCGGGCAGTGTGGCGCGGGCCGGCGTGGGGAGAGGTGCTGCTCGGCGCCCGCCTCATTGGTTTTACTAAATTAGTTGCCTGGACAGTCCTGTGCATGAGGTCACCTGCACCAGGTTTACAGGCAAGTTACTCTAGATGAGTAGTTTTATCACATTGTGTTCTGTTGGTAGAACAGTCTATATTGGCTGACTGTCTAAATAAGAATAGTTAAGGCTTTATTTAAAATAATTTAATTAGCTCTGGGTTATTCATTTGTAAATATAATGATATTGAGAAATATACCTGTTTATTAGTAGAGTTTTATCTGGATTAGGACTTTCGATGATTATTAAAACAAAATTCTACTTTAAAACGATTGTTATGTAATAAACTGTTCCACAACAGCTGCTAGTGTCAACTTTATAGTGAAATTTACTGTTTGATAAAGAATAGGTGAAAAAAGTTTTAAAAATTAGTTAAATTCAAGCAGTTATGTTTCTTGTGAACTATCGGATTTCAATCCTTGAAATATGGACCAAAGACTTTTAATCTAGCAAGCGTCACATACCCCCCATTACCGGGCCATCCAATGTGAATGAAACTAGCCATCCTGAGTCAGTGTCGTTCACGCTGCAGCCAACCCCAGAAACGCCATAATTAACATTAACGTCCTGTATAACCAAGTACTATATTGTGTCCAATATAAGTAAATATTAATGTATATTTAAATTGTGTATAGGTCTGATAGTTGTTGAAGGAAACAATAGCACGTGAGTGTATTCCAAACTGTCTCCCTCCCCTAATAAATAATATATAATAGGTCACAAATCAAAAACTCTTAAGTACAGTGTTAAAATGTAAACTGTTGTGGGTCAGTGCAGGAACAAGCATAGACTGAGGACAAGTTAAATGTACTCGCCTAGTTGTACTCACCTAGTTGTGTTTGCAGGGGTTGAGCTCTGGCTCTTTGGTCCCGCCTCTCAACCGTCAATCAACTGATGTACAGATTCCTGAGCCTACTGGGCTCTTGTCATATCTACATTTGAAACTGTGTATGGAGTCAGCCTCCACCACATCACTACCTAGTGCATTCCATTTACTAACTACTGACGCTGAAAAAGTTCTTTCTAATGTGTCTATGGCTCATTTGGGTACTCAGTCTTCACGATCATAATGGGAGCCGGTCGGCCGAGCGGACAGGACGCTGGACTTGTGATCCTGTGGTCCTGGGTTCGATCTCAGGCGCCGGCGAGAAACAATAGGCAGAGTTTCTTTCACCCTTTACCCCTGTTACCTAGCAGTAAAATAGGTACCTGGGTGTTAGTCAGATCCCTGGAAACACAAACCGAAACTGTCGCTATTTTCCGCTTGTTACAACTTGTAATAAAGCTGTTACATCTTGGCTTAACGTGTTTATGACGTATTAGAACGTTGTTACAACTTGCTATATTGGTTGGTATAACTGGTTAGGAGGTGTTACAACTTGTTCGAACGTTGTATCAACGTTGTAGTGTCGGTGTGTGTTTAGCGGGATGTTACGGGCTGCTTCCTGTGGGAACTGACCTGTGAGATTTATATTTATTTAATTTATATGAATTTATATAGAATTTATATTTACGTTAATTTATATACTTCGATAGCAATTTGTATGATGATAAGTGGACTGTATTTCTGCAATAATCTCATAATCTCACAAATCGATCCTCTACACATTAGGGGGGTTTATATTATTGAATTTATATATATGCAGCCAATCAAACTACAGTATTAACTACACATTGAAGAGGTTCCTTATCTTATTGTACAGCAGGCCTTAGTCCACCAGGTATAACCAGGATGTAGACACCACATTTTCCTCGTGTGAGGTAGCTTCCAACACCCTGGTAACTGATGCACAAAGCATGCTTCCTCGTCTTGACCTGTCAAAAGGGCGCTAGCTATAAAGCCAGAATCCTAATATATGACAGCTATATCAGAGAAAACACTGTACATGGAACCATATAGACCTGGGCTAATTACGTTTAGTATGAGGCGATCTCATGCTCTAACCGGCCACCCTATCCAATGACATTAATAGCCACTAATGATAGATAAGTGGGTTTCGGTAGAACACTTAACTTGAATTTGTTGACAGCGTGTTGATGATGGTACACCTTTGGTTTCCATAACACTTCGTCCAAGTAAAATTAACAGGAGCCGAATTTGTTCCCGTGCCTCTGGTCTTAAACAATAACAATGGCTGACCACTCCCCACTCCCTGACGCCTGGCTTACATTGTCCAGATGACAGTAAGTGATAGAAGGGTCACATTTACTCTATTTTAATTCTGATAATTAAGCTAATTTATGAGATGTTTTTATGATGGTAAAGTCCAAAGACTAATGTATTTAAGAATAATTCCCACCATAATAGGTGGTGAATTTATAATAGTATGTGGTAATGATATTCCGT